GAGGCTGCCGGCATAATTCAGTAGTAGAGCACTGGCCCAGTATATGTGAGGCCATGTTCAATCTCCAGGACAGACAGAAAAAAGGGACAGAGTTCTATATGATGAAAATATTTTTTCAGCTCTTCTGTGTTCTTGAATTTTTTCTTTATAGCATGTGAGGAAACAAAATGACTTGTTCCAAATTCAAATACTATATTTAATTTCAAACAGGAGGAAGAATCTAACTGCATATGGTTCATATAGGAATTACCAAAACTATCTGGCATAACACTGTGAACGGATACTGGGTTTTTTGTTGTGGTGGTGGTGGTGGTGGTGGTAGCTTCTCTGTTGTTTGTTTAAGCAGAACACTAGGGTATAGATCAAAATCATACAATAATTTGCCACTTAAAAACTATATAGCTGGGTGTGGTGGTACACGCCTACAATCCCAGCACTGGGGAGGCTAAAGCAGGAGGATCATTTCGAGTTCGAGACCAACCTGAGCTATAAAGTGAGTTTAAGGGCCAGCCAAATAGCGCAGGGGTCGGGGAGTGTCCAGACCTGCCTTGCCCGCCCTGCCCCTGGAGTGTGCTGAGATGACAATTGAGACTGGGCGTGGTGGTACAGGCCTGTAATCCCAGTTCTTGGGAGGCTGTAAACAGGCAGATCACTACAAGTCCCACCTAGTAGGGAGACCCTGAACACCCTGTGGTCCCTTCCCTAAAAATACAAGAAAAATACAATTTCTCTTTTTCTTTTCTTTTTTTGGCTGGCTCAGGTTTCCTTAAGGTCAGGTCTGGTAAGGCAGGTGGAACTGGGGATCGAACCATGGCATCCTACGCCTGACTGCGTTTGCATAAGCAGACGCTTAAACAACTGAGCTAACCAGCAGGCCCCCTTCCCTAAAAATACAAAAAAAAAAAAGTGAGTTCAAGGCCAGCCTAAACTGCATAGCAAGACCCTGTCTTAAACAAACAAACAAACAAACAAACAAACAAAAAAATAAAAAACTCTGTGTATATGTGTGTCTGTGTGTATTATAAAGGATGTTCCTGTAGTTCCAGCTACTGAGGAGGCCAAGGCGGGAGGATTATGTGAGCCCCAAAGCTTCAGACTAGCTGATGCAACACAGTAAGGCATCGTCTCTTAAAAAAAAAAAAAAAAAAAAAAAAAAACTGTCTGGCAGGGTCTGGCAATTTCTGCTCAAGTTAAACATACGTCTTCACTCTGACTCAGCAAATCCAACTTCAAGGCAACATCTGCAGAGAGATTCACATGAGAATCCTCAGGCCAGCACTATTCATAGTAACTAAAAACCAGGAACAACCATCCCCAGGAGAAAGGATAAACAAGCTGGCATGTGCACACAATGAAATGGCCCACACTGGAAGTGGATAAGCCACACACAGCCCGTGGAACAAATCTGAACTGTCAAATGTTTTTGTAAGGCTGGTGAGCCAGGAGTAATTCTTACATTTTTTTCATGGTTGGGAAAAAAGCAATAATCATAATAAGAATGATATTTTTTTTTCTGCCAAACATACCTGGAATCCCAGCATTTGGGAGGCTGAAGCAGGACTGCCTCAAGTTCAAGGCCAGCCTGAACTACATAGCAAGAGCCTGTCTCAAAATGATAGTAACACTTTTTGACACATGGAAGCTATCTGATATACCAATTTTTTGCCTTTTGTTGTTGTTGTACTAGGGATTGAACCCAGGCAGACAGATAGATAGGTAGGTAGGTAGGTAGGTAGGTAGACAGACAGACAGACAGACAGACAGACAGACAGATAGATAGATAGATAGATTTTTTTTTTTTTTTTTTTTTTTTTGTGAGTCTCCCTAAGTCACCAAGTTGCCCAGGCTGGACTTGATCTTAGGTTCTTCCTACCTTAGCCTCCCAGAGTGCTGAGATTACAGGCCTATGTCACAAGGCCCCGCTAAAATTCAAATTTTCGAGGCCATAAATATAATTACAGGGGCTGGAGAGATGGTTCAGTGATCTAAAGCACCTACTTAGAACAAGCTTAGCAAAGCACAGGGACCGTGGTTCAATCCCTCAGTACCACATGCCAGCCAGCACCGACCCCTGGTGTGCTGAGCTGGCCACACACACACACACATAAATAAATAGATAATTTAAAAAATATATTAAAAATATATATAATTAGGGCTGGTGAGACGGCTCAGTGGTCTAAAGCACCTACTTAGAACAAGCTAAGCTAAGCAAAGCACGGGAACCACGGTTCAATCCTCCAGCACCACATGCCAGCCAGCCCCGCCCCCTGGTGGGCTGAGCTGGCTACACACACAAAAAATAAATAAATAAATAAATAAATATTTTTAAAAAAAGAGTTTAAAAAAAAAAAAAAAAATATATATATATATATATATATATATATATATATAGTTACATTGGAACACGGCCATGTCTGTTCTTCTATGCACAGTCTGTGGCTACTTTCACACCATGATTGGCGAGCCCTGTAATCACCACAAAAACCTAGCAGTCTTGTCACAGTATTTAATCCAACACCTACTATACAGCGAAAAGAAAGAAAACTAACTATGAACATAGCATAAGGGCTGAGCACATAGCTCAGTGGCACAAGCGCCTGCCTGGCCCTGGGTTCAATTCCCAGTACAAAAAAAAAAAGTCTAAGTGAGACCCTGAACACCCTGTAGACCCTATCCTAAAAAAATACAAAAATAAAATCCAAGCATAAAGTATCTCAGCATGAATTTCTTTTACATTTTAATAACTCTATTTTACTTTTTTTTTTTTTTGGTGGAACCGGGTATTAAACTCAGGCCCTTGCACTTGCCAGGGAAGCGCTTATTCCACTGAGCCATCTCCCCGGCTCTAATAACTCTATTTTAACAATTCCACTTTACACTTATTTAAAAGACCCAGGGAGTTTTGTACATTTTAATTGATTGCTAGATAGCCAAGTTAGAGCAGAACTAGGACATGGTTTTTTTAAATATAAATTATACTCGACTTAGAAATTTATTTTTATAGCTATAATTGATGGCCTAAAATTTCTCCAAACTAAACACAATAAGGAAATCTTAGTGAAAGTAACTGGCTTAGGAAATGCAATGTGGTGTTTCAACATTTTCTTTTCTACACCATTGCCAAAGGACGTCAGAACAATGGGTTAGGGCTGCCTATTGACTGGTCCGTACGTAAAAAACGGTCATTTCATTTCTGGTTATAATTTTTCATCCAAGGAGGAAACTGAAGAGCAGACCAAAATACAAAGTTCCATTTAATTAAACACCACTTCATTCTTTTGTGGCGCTCATACGCTTTACTGATGTGTGTTAGAGGCGTTAGTAACTCCAGGTAGCTTTCCCCCCTCAAAAAAAAAAAAAAAGTCTAGAACATAACACAGAATGCAAGAAGCCAAACACAGGTACAGGCACTGCTATATAATTCTTCCTTATGGGGTCTAGAACATGCAAAATTATCTGTGATTGCATTAGCCACAAGAAGGGTCCCTTGGGAGAGGTTCCAGCAGCAGGAAGAGGCACAGGAAGCCTTTGGTATGAACCAGCTTCCAGATCTGGATATGGATATGGGGGAGGGAGCTCAAGCATACACATGCGTGCAAATGTACCAAGGAGCATATGCATGATGTGTGCACTTTTTATCTTATTATATGTACACTATAAAGAGTCAGGGGGCTGGTGAGATGGCTCAGTGGTCTAAAGCACCTACTTAGAACAAGCTTAGTAAAGCACAGGGACCGCGGTTCAATCCCCCAGCACCACAGGCCAGCCAGCCCTGGTGGGCTGAGCTGGCCACACACACACACACACACACACACACACAAATAAATTTTAAAAATAAATAAATAAAAAAAGAGTCGGGGCAAGAAAAACTACAATAACAGGGAGAAAATAATGGTCAGATCTCCAAAGGTCAATTAAGAATTCAGACCAAAGCTGCTGGGCACATGGGCACTGCAGCCTGCCGCCCACCTGAGTCACACAGTGAGTTCAGGTCCAGCCTAAACTGCACAGAGACCCTGTCTCAAAAACAAAACAAGTCTTAACACAAATCCCAATCATTTCCAGTCCTAAGCAATGCCAAGAAAGCTTCTTAACACCTACTATATGCAACGGACACAAGTTTCAATGTAGTTTTACCTGTTTCCAAGAAAATCCTTGAAATGACCTAGAACCGCTGCCCCAATCCTGTTCCCACACACAGCCCTCACCTCCGCTAAATGCTCTTCTCTAAACCAACTGCCTCCATTTAGCAAAACTCTGAAGCCGGAAGGGCCAGCCCTCCCTCACCCAGGCACCAGACATGCTGTCCCTGAAGTTAGCTAAACTGTATCATTAGCAATTCTGATTAGGAAAAAAAAAAAAGCCCAGTGTCCATGGTTTCTTCCCTGAGTACAACCCCTCCACACATGATCATACACATTGCCCAAGAGTGCAAAGACCTGTTGGTTAGGAGACCTGCTGATTAGGACTGTTTCCCAAAAAAACCCAAGGAGAGAGGAACCTTCAGACTTCCTGCATGAGGAAACAGCAGGGCTGGGGCTAAGGTGCAGGTCCAATGCCCAATATTTAAGGAAGGTCCAGCTGGCAGGCTCTAACCCTGCACTTACATAACCGATGAATGCCACCTTAAATAGTGCCCTGCCCCTCCCACTTAAATAGTGCCCTGCCCCTCCCACTTTGCCACCTTCCACACCCAGAGCTGGGGATGCTGCTCCTCACTCCCCATGGCCCTAGTTCAGAATCTTAGCCTCCAATCAACTTTTATGGCATACCCAGGCCAAAGGAGCCTTAGCAAACTATAAATGTTGACTTAAGGGGCTTGGCCAGAGACACGCCTGTCAAGAGCCTGCTGCCCTGTGCCCCACCTGGGTTCCCAATGCCTTCTTCCCACAGATGTGAATTCAAGGGTTAGGAACCCAAGTCTTCTCCCAGAGCCCTCTTCCCTTAAACTGAAGGAGTCTAGGCCACCGCCTTTTCTGGCAAGCAAGAATTCAACTCACAAAGCGTCCAAAGCGGATAGTGTCTCCATCATCAATGTGTAAATCAGCCTGGGCCCCACTGCGGCGAGAGATGACAGACTGGCAGCCAGGAAGTAGGGATCGGAGCATCCCTGAGCCTGTGATGTGGTCCGCGTGGCAGTGGGTGTTCACTGGGAGAGAGGAAGCCAGGTCAGGCTGGGCACAGAAAGGACCCAGCATTCCCAGGCTCAGCCTCCAAGCCTCCAGCTTCCCACTGGATTTTCATTGTTGCCCTGCCTCCCCCACACCCAAGAGGTTAATCCCAAACTGACCAGCATAGAGCAGCCGCAGTCCCAGCTCCTTGACCAGCTGGGCATCTCGAGGAGCTGTCTCCAGCACCGGGTCGATCAGAACGGCCTCACGGGTCTCTCTGTCACCCAGCAGGTAGGTGTAAGTGCAGCTCACCGGCTCAAACATCTAGGAGGCGGTGAGGCACAGGTGACTCCCATCCCCAGGAACCCAAGTCCAGGGTTCCACTCCAGCACTGCCTAAGGCTCAGAAATGGAAATCCCAACTCCTCTTTCCCCCGGAGTCAAGAGTCTGGGGTCCCTGCCAGGTACCGAGGCACAAGCCTGTCAACTCAGTACTCCAGAGGCTAAGGGAGGAGGATGGCACAAATTGAGGCCAGCCTGGGCTACATAGTGAGTTCAAGGACAGCTTGGACTGCCAGACCCTGATTAAAAAAAAAAAAAAAAAAAAAAAGAGTCTGGGATTCCCCACTTTCCTCTGTCAGAACCAAGGAATCCCAACTTTGTGTGTGTGTGTGTGTGTGTGCGCGCGCGCGCGCGCGCGCGTGCTTTGAGGCAGGGTCTCCCTATGCAGCCCAGGCTGGCCAGGAACTCTGATCCTCCTACCTCAGCCTCCAGAGTGCTGGGATTACTGGCGTGCGCCACCACACCACATATGTAATCCTAACTTTCTGACACTTCAAAATCAAAGTGCCCGCCACCCTCTCATAACGGACCCAGGAATTTCGCCACAAGGCTAAGATCCTTTAATCGCTCCCTCTTCTGGAGGGCAGAAACCCCACCCCCAATCCCTCTGCTTCCTGCAACATCCCGGCGTAGGATCCCCAGGTCTGCAGTCTTCAAATATATTGGGGTTCCGCCCTTCTGCCGCGTAGGGCCCAGGGATTCCACTTCCCTATCCAACCACCTCGCACCTGCCGCAGGAGGACGGGGCCTCCAGGCCCGCTGCGCTGGCTCAGCTGCCGCCCAGCGACCCTCAGAGCCACTCCCGCCATCGCGCCCGCCGCCGCCTCAGCGTCCGGAAAGTGCGCCCGCCGCGCACCGCAGCCGGGAAGCCGGCGGCGCAGGCTGACCCCGGGGCGGGGCGGGGCGGGGCGGGGCGAGGGGGGCTCGGGGGCGGGGCTTGGAGGGGGCGGAGCCTTCTTAAAGGCACCTCGGTTATCTTAACTGTGCGCTAAGGGTGGGCTTGCTGGTCAGGATTGGGGGTTGCCTAAGTGTCAGAACCCAAAGAAGATAACGAGCGTCGCAGGGGCACCTCGAGCTCCTGAGGAACAAAGAACACAATCACTCGGGAAGACTCAGGGACACACAAAGACGCCGGTGGGGAGAGAGAGGGAGAAACCCATGGGGCCGCCAGATGCTCACAGTCCTGGCCCATTTTACAGGAGAAAAGAGGGTGGCAGGGCAGACATTGTGAGAAATATGAAAAGTTGCTGGGTCCAAGGTCATGGTGCTCTTAGGGACTCTTAGGTGTGTGCCCGGCTCCCAGAACAATACTTTTCCCCTGCAATTCGTCCAAACGTTCCTTCAGCACTGAAATGTTTCTCATTCTTCCCAAGAAGTAATCATATATATGTGTGTGTGTATATATATATATATATATATATATGTAAAATTTTACAATCTTTCTTGCAAGCTCTGGCTGAAAAGCATTTGTCTTTTGTTGAGGTGTGAACTTCTAAAAACAGCTTTTGCTTATGTAAGGATCCAGAGCTGAGAAACAGTTCCTCAAGCCCTGAACGTCATACAGTTTGCTCTTTGGAATCATGAAGAATGATGGTGCCGGGTGTGGTGGTGCAAGCCCATAATCCCAGCCCTGGGCAGGCTAAGGCAGGAGGACCACTGTGAGTCTGAGGTCAGCCAGGGCTATATAGCAAGACTATCTAAAAAATAAAATAAAAGGGCTGGTGAGATGGCTCAGTGGTCTAAAGCACCTACTTAAAACAAGCTTAGCAAAGCACAGGGACCGCGGTTCAATCCCCCAGCACCACATGCCAGCCAGCCCTGCCCCCTGGTGGGCTGAGCTGGCCACACACACAAAAATAAATAATTAATTAATTAATAAAATAAAATAAAAAGACTAAAGAAAATGTGTGATATGACACTGCTGGCTCAGGGTACCACTTAGTGATAGCCCAAGGAGGTCCTGGGTTCCACCCCAAGATTGGAGGCCAGAGCACAATTCTTGTCCAGAAGATCTGAATCACTTGTCACAGTGAATCTGCCTCAATTGCCAGCCCAGGTCCAGAGTTTGGGGGGGGGGGGTTGCTGTAGCAACAACAGTCCACCTTTATCTTGCCACGACCCCCAGCAATGGGGAATTGAACTCAATCATGAGATTACCTGGGCTGGGCTGGAATTTGTGATCCCCCTGCCTCAGCCTCCCAGAGTTTATGGCTTACAGGCCTATGCCACCAAACCTTTACCTTTACTTTAATTCAGGACTTCCGAGGCCCTAGACGGATCCTCAGAACGTGCTGGCCACGCCTCTGGGGCAAGCTGAGCTGGCAAACAAGTCTAGGTGTGGTGGCGCATGCCTGTAATCTCAGCACTTGGGAGGCTGAAAACAGGAGGATCACTACAAACCCAATCCGTGTGGTGAGACCCTGTACTAAATACAAAAAAAAAAAAAAAAAAAAAACACCCCCAAAAAAAGGCCTTCCCTCTGTCAGAAAGTTACCATCACTGAGGCAACTGGGACTCTTACCTACCTCTCACCCCTTCTGCCAGGCATGAATCCGCAACCTGGAAGGACATCTCACCAAACACAAATACCTGTTGCCAAGCCAGTCAGCCTCCCTCTTTAATCTTACCCTTTCCTTGACAGGAAATGACTACATCAGCCCAATAACCACAGTCTGAAATTCTGCAAATTCTCCTCCCCCAGCCTCTGGGCCTAACCACCAACCATGCTCCAGCCACACTCAGTGGCCTAAAGCCGCTTAGGAGCCTACCAGATTGTTGTTGTTGAGACTGTTGTTGTTGTTGTTTTAATGTATTTGGTACAGGGTCTCACTATGCAGCTCAGACTTGTGATCCTCCTGCTTTCAGCCTCCCCAGTGCTGGGATTATAAGCGTGCACCATTATACCGGGGCTCTGGCAGGCTCAGCCCACCCTGGGGGCAGGACTGGCATGGCATGTGGTGACAGGGATTGAACTGTGGTCCCTGAGCTTGCGTAAGCTTGCCTAAGCAGGCGCTTTAGTCTGCTGAGCTATCTCGCCGGCCCCGATAGACTGCTAATCACCTTGGGCGAGATCTCTGTGCTCTCACCTATGTAGCCATCATCTTGTACCCTGTGCCTCCCAACCCATACACCCTTTTTGGACTGTTACCTCCCGATGCCACCTGGTTTACACGAATAGATGTAAAAGCTGCCTTCCTCTGCTTGCAAGTTGCTCCCATAAGCCCCTTCAACTGGGAAAATCCTGAGACAAAATGCAACTCACTTGGACTGGCTGCCACAAGTGGTTAAGAAACTCTCCCACCACTTTTGGGGAGGCCCTCGTGACAGATCTGGCTCTGGGATGGCGTGCTTCTCTGCTCCTTCCAGCTCCAACACAGTTCTCTGAGAAAGAAAAAAAACGAGGCTTCAAAACTGCAAGATGTCTACAGACTGTCGAACTGCTAAAATATACCTCTCCTGGGCTGGGGAGAGAGCTCAGTGATCTAAGCACCTGCGGGGCAAGCACAAGGATCCAGGTTTGATCCCTGATACTGCATGCCAAGCAGGCCACGGAAACTGGGTGTAGTGCCGCACACCCATAATCCCAGTGCTAGGGAGGCTGAGACAGGAAGATCACTACAATTCCAAGCTGCATAGTAGGGAAATGCTGTACCAAATAAATTTTTAAAAAATTTAATGCTGGGGGCCAGGGAGATGGCTCAGTGGAACAACTGCTTTTCTGGCAAGTGCAGGACCCTGAGTTCAATCCCCGATTCCGCAAAAAAAAAAAAAAAAATAATGCCATATATATCCTTCCTGTAAAGCCAGTTCAAGATCTCTAAGCTGCCAATGCTGCCTCGATTGCCCTCTGTACATGTTGCCTCAGTCTTCCACCCCCCACAGCCTGCTGCACATCTGCCTGGAGCTAAAGAATGCCTTCCTGCGCCTTCACTTGGCTCCTCTCAGCCTTCTCCTCTTTGCCTTTACATGGAAAGACCCCAGTTCTGGATTCAAAAGTCAGCTGACCTGGACGTAACCTCCCAGCAGTTCAAAAACTTGTTTCCCCTCTTTGGAGAAGGCCTCCCTGCTAACCTCACTAGTTTCCCAGCACAAAATACTACTGCCCTGCTGATTAATGACACCTAAGGAGCCAGCTGAAAAGTCACAAAAACTCTGCTGCAATGTCTAGCAGAAACCGGTTATGAGAAAGAAAAAAAACCTCTTACAGCTGCTGGCTTCTACAGAATCTGGAACCTTAAGTCCATAAAAGCAACGAGGCTTGCGCCGACTGTGACCCCTGCGAATGCCCTGTGGCCTACCTGCGCAAGCACTTAGATCCTGTCCCGAGGGGCTGCCTTGCCTCCTTTGCCTCCATGCTCTAAGTAAGTGACAAGCTCATCTTAGGCTGAGACCAACTGTCTGGGTGCCACACACTCTCCTGGATATGCTGTGGTCACCTGGGACAAAGTTATTTTGAACAAAGCTCTCCCGCTACTGTTTGAAAGCCTGCCACCAGCAATACTAAACCTGCACGCCTAAGCCCCCTCCAGGGATCCGATTGGCTGAACATCAACCCCAGCCAGGAAAACTGTTTACTCAGTACTCTCAGAAGATCAGAGCCAGACTGGCCCTCACCATTTGTTCCGCAAACTCAAGCGCAGCACCGGCACCTGGATCCCTGCAGCCGGCTCAGGCTTCAGCATCTGTGTCTCGGGCCCGCCCTTCACCTGGCACGACGTAGTGCTTGTCTGCACCTACTCAGGCTGACCAAGACAACAAGCGTTACGCGGTCCTGCCGTCCCTTGACATGGCCTACTCTTGACTATGGGCAGCACTAACGGGCCTGCATTTGTAGCAGAGGTAACTCAAACCTGGCAGAACTAGTACAGGTAGCCGGTATCATCCCAGTACTTGGGAGGTTGAGGCGAGAGGCCTGCAGGAGTCCAAGACCAGCATGAACTCTATAGTGAGACCCTGTCTCAAATAAAACTGAACCAAATTTGCAAGACGCTGGATGTATTTCTGGTGGCCTTCATTGAAGAAAAATCCCAGAGAGCTACATCAGAGACAAGGGTGATGATAGGCAGAGGTGCAGAAGAAAAGTCCTTGCCTCCCTGTCTTCCTGCTAGCTCTGGTTTTTGCTTTACACTATATAGACGGTTGCCCCAGGAGAGTATAACAATACAGAACTGCTTCAGGTTGGGCTTGTCTCAGAAGAGCACTTATAATATGCCTGGCAAAGATTTGCCAGGGAAACTAAAAGAGAAGGGAGGGCTGGGGATATAGTTTAGTGGTATAAGCACCTGCCTGGCAAGCGCAAGGTCTCAAGTTCAAGCCCCGGTACCACAAAAATAAATAAATAAATAAAAATAAAAAATAAAATAAAAGAGAGGGGAAAGGTAGCGGAAGAATCCCATCCCCCCAGCCAGTATACTTCAGTCTGTTAGTTGTCCCAGTGATAGCTCTGGTTACAGTTCTTGGTATTTTGTTTCTTAGAAATGATTGGTCACTGTGGTACCTGGCTGGTCACTACGACTCATACTGTAAGAACCAATCCCCATCCGACAGGCCCTTCTGCCACTGTACTACCTGCTTGCTTATCCCATGGAAGGCCTAGACCCCCAGCGATGGGGGCCTGCTGTTCCGGGAGTGATCCCAATCAGTGCCCCCTAGATCTGCCTTCAATTCCTGAGAGTTGCTTTGTACTTCTGCTTGCCATGGGACTCTCATCCTTGTTCGGAAAGTCATTCAGGGCTCCCTCTGTGGTCCTCTCCCCTAGCATTGCAAGTCAATAAAATCCAACTTTGCCCCGTGTGGTGCTGGTATAATTCCAGTACTTGGGAGGTTGAAGCAGGAGGATTGCTGGTGTTCAAGACTCTGTAGCGAGACCCTGGCTCTAAATAAATAAAACCAAACCAAATTTGCCAAAGTCTGAATGAATTTCTGATGACCTGGAGACAACGGTGATGACAGGCAGAAATCCAGAAGAAGGGGGCACGGAAAGCCACCCACAGGCACGCCGAAGGATGGATGGCTGAAATGGGCTCCCTACACAGAAATGGAGTCCCCATGAAACCCTGGAGATTCCAGATGCTGAGAGCTAGAGATCAGAGCAGGGAGCAGTGTGGGGAGAGGCAAAGGGCAGATCCCAGGAGAGGAGAGAAGCAGGCAGAAGAAACACCCAGAGCCACGGAGTCCCCTGCACAGCGGGCCCACATGCGGTGAGGCTGGATCTCAGGGCTCACTCTCCAGATAGGGACGTGGGGCAGAAAGGCGGCGCGGACATCAGGAGGTGCAGGGCCTGGAGGGGCTCAGCGCAGAGGGAAGCCAGGGAAAAGGGGGGCGTCACTGTGAGGGTCCCTAATAAGACCTCTGAGCCCCTGGGGTCCTTTCCTGTTGTGTTTGCAGGGTTTCTAGGCCACTTCCTGATCCTGGATGGCTTCCTGGGGTTTCCATCTGCCCAGTTGTCAGGCATCCTAAGCAGCAGAATCCTTGGCTTCATACTTCTGGGTTGAAAGCTTACTCTTCTTCTTTTTTTTTTTTTTTTTTTGCGGGGGAGGGGGGTTCTCTTTTGTAAAACAAGGCTGCAAGTTCCTTCCTCCTCTGTGAATGAAGACCCAGTGAATCTGCACTTTAGCCTGGCACGCACAGGCTCAGTGGGGCCTGGCCCCTGTGACTTCCCTATGGTCCTCCACGCCTTCCTCCCTTTCCTCCTCCACCCAGTCCTGGCCCTAGTCAGGCTCTTTTTCCACCACCACACCCTCTTTCCCAGTCTAGAGGCAGCCTGGACTCCGGGGCCAGCCTGCAGGGTTCAAATCTTAGCTCTGCTGGTTTTGCCTGGGGCCTGGCTGTGTGACCTTAGGCACTCAGACACCTCCTTCATGCCCCATCTTCCTCTTCTTTAAAAGGATAATGGTAGTATAAGGCCCAGGGATGTAGCTCAGTGGCACCAGGGTCTGCCTGGCAAGTGCAAGGTCCTGAATTCAATTTCTGGTATCTAAATTAATTGATTTTTTAAAAAAACAGTAGTGTAGCACAACCTCTTAGTAAACTGCTGTAGTGATTGAATGATTAAAACATGTAAGGACAATTTCCAGTACAGAACTACTTAATACTTGGTAGCAATTAATACTCTAATTAGTATATAAGCGGACTCACTGGTTTTCTGGCTTCTACTTGCCTCCTGATTTATTTTCCCCGTGGCAACCAAAGTAAGCCTTTTTAAACGTCAATGAAACACCTATAATATTCAATAACGGAACTTAGAAAAAATGGGGTATACAGATGAATGTCCATTTTGTATCTGTGTATTCAAAGTGGTTGGGATAGATATATAGTTACATTCTGTTAATGAATAGAATGATTTGTTCTAATGGTGTTTGTAAATAGGATCTCAAGTCCGCATCTTGTACAGCAATTAACCACTAAGAAGAATATATGCAGTGAATTATTTGTTGAAAAATAAAAAAAAATAAAATAAATAAAAAAAAAGAAAAAGAAAGAAAGGAGTCTCTACCAAAAAAAAAAAAAAAAAAAAAAAAAAAAAAGGATCTCCTCCAAAAAAAAAAAAAAAAAAAAAAGTCAATGAAGAGCTGGGTGTGATGGTATATGTCTGAAAGCCTAGCACTCTGGAGGCTGAAACAGGATTGCAGAGTTCACCAGCCTGAGCTACATATTGAGACTCTGTTTCAAAACAAACAAAAAAGATAAAATGGCGATGATCCTGTAATGCCAGCGCTTGGGGAGGCCACTGCAGAAGGATCCCTGAGTGTGAGATCAGCCTGGGCTATGTGGGATTTCGAGACCAGCCTGAATTACACACGTAGTGAGACCTTGTCTCAAAACACACACACACACACACACACACACACACACACACACACACAAAGCCAGGTGTGGCGGCACACAGCTGTTATTCCACCACTCAGATTTGGAAGGTTGAGGCAGGAGGATCCCTGCAAGTTGGAGGCCAGCCTGGGCTACAGAGTGAGTTCAAAGCCAGCCTGAATTATCTATTAAGACTCTGTCTCAGGGCCGGGGAGATGGCTCAGTAGAATAAGCACTTCCCTGGCAAGCGCAAGGGTCTGAGTTCAATCCCCAGTTCTACCAAGGGGGAAAAAAAAAAGACTGTCTCCAAAAAACAATTTTATTATTTTTTTTGAATTTCTTTTTTTATTATTTTCTCCCATAATTTTATTGATAAATAGCAATGAGACAGTTTCAAATCAAATTGATAGGACAGTTTCAATAATTAACACATTGCAGGGGGGCTGGTGAGATGGCTCAGTGGTCTAAAGCACCTACTTAAAACAAGCTTAGCAAAGCACAAGGAACACGGTTCAATCCCCCAGCACCACATGCCAGCCAGCCCCGCCCCCTGGTGGGCTGAGCTGGCCACACACACACAAATAAATAAAATTTAAAAAAAGATTTTAAAAAAATAATTAACACATTGCATACATCCTTCCTAGTGAAAAAAACAATTTTAACAAACAAAAATGGTAATGAAAAAGAGACTGAGGAGAGAGCAAACAATGCAATGTGTGGACCAGGTTTAATTTTGATTCAAATAAACAAACTGTAGTAGAAAGATGTTTATGGGACATAGCCTGACATTTAGTTTCAGAATTATTTTGGAAAAATGTGTGGGGTTATCAGTGGCCATGAGTGGAAAATTGTTGTTGCTGTTTTGTCTGTTTCATGGTGCTAGGGATGAAACCCAGGGCCTCAAGCATGCTAGGTAAGCACTGGGCCTCTGAGCTACACCCTCATCTTGTACTAATCTTTTTTTTTAGATAGGGTTTAACAACATTCCTTACAAAAATAGGGAAAGCACTGCTAAAATTCATATGAAATAGAAAAGATCCAGTTAAAAAAAAGCAATCTGCCAGGAGTGGTGGTGCACACCTGTAATCCCAGCCGGCAGGAGCCTGAGGCAGGAGGATAGCCATCAGTTCGAGACCAGCATGGGCTACAAAGAGAGCTGTGGTGACTTTTGAGCTGAGACCTAAGGACAATGCCCACATAGGACTGGCCATAATGCAGACCTGGAAGAAAGGCCGGAGTCTACAGTCCTGCAAGACCTCAACGGAGGGATCCTCCGAATACAGTGGGCTTCTTCTCGAAATCTGTTCACGTGATGACTGCCAAGTAGTTCCGGGAGACAACGTGACCAAATTCAATGCCCAATAAAAACAAAAATATTGCTAACGTTTATTGATTGCTATATCCACTCTGTCTGCTAAACATTTCCCACTGATTACTAAATTTTATCCCAAGAACCCTCTATATTATACACGAGGAAACTGAGGCCCAAGCACTTAAGGGACGCATCCGAGGTCACACTGCTAGAGTGGCTGTGCTGAGAAGCCAAAGCAGTTACCCTAGAATCCAATAACCCATCAGGTAACTCCCAGGGCTCTCGAACTTCGCAGAACCAACTGGATTTTCAGGCTGAAGATCCACCCTTGAGAAGGGCTTTTATGGGAACATCAGGGACATTCCAGCACTTATATGGTCACTCCCTAGGGAGAATACCAAGCTGCATGCCTTCCCTGCCTGGCATGCAGAGACCACTCCTGGTCACCTGGACCACCACGCCCAAGGAAGAGAGAACGCTGGATTACCCAGTGGCGCCACGCAAATAATTTCTTGCGGGGGGGGCAACTTGCTCTGAGTTCCGCGTTGTTCCTAGCGAATGGGCAGACTTTTCTGCAAAACACCTGGAAGGGTGGAACTGGCAGCGAACTTAAAAACTGTAGAGACTGAACTGAGGATCCCCGTGGAATTCTCGAAAAGAAGAGGGGCATTTATTATAAAGAAGGCTGCACGCGGTGGGAGCTTCCTTGCTGATCTCCAAGCGCAGGCAGTCCACGTTCGCCTGGCCCGCACTTGGCTCCACTCAGCCACCGTAGGCCCCGCAGCCGCGGTGCGCTTTCCCGCGGTCCTTCGGCCCGCAGCTTCGCGCTCGCTCGGGAACTCGTCCGCTTGGCGCTCTCACCCCCTCTTCCCTTCCGGCTTCCCCCTGCGCAGCTTCGGCTGGCTGCAACTGCGCACGCGTGCCGACGCCCCCTCAGTCCCGTGCGGGGGGAAGGGATGGGAGTGAGGCTGGGTCCCGCGGCTCACCGGGCTCCCTCCTCCCCTCCCCTCCCGCTCTCCTGCGGCGGCCCGGCGGGTCCCAAGGCTGCGCAGCGGAAGCTGAAGACGCAGCCACAGCGGCCGAGGCGGGAGGGGCCAGGAGCCCCGCCCCCGGGAGAGGCCGCCCCGCAGGTGAGAAGGGCGGGGTCCAGGTATGGACGCTTTATCCGAGGGAAAGGATTTGGGGCCCGATGCCTGCATCTCACTCAGGGGGACCTGTGGGGGTCTGCATTGGACTTTGAATTGGTGCCTGGAAGACCCCGGCCGGGGGTACATTGAGTGCAGGGTGCGTGGATCCCCGAGGGAAGAGCTCACTAGGAGGATCGCGACTGCTGCACCCGCCACGTTCCTTCCGTCTTTCTGCAGGTCCCCCTCTATCCTGCACTCCCCTAACCCTCGCACAGGATGAAATTTAACTGGAAGGACGCGGTTGATGCAGTGGCAATGGACCGAGCCTAAGGCAGAAGGCGGGTAAAGCCACCTCTTAGACGTGAGACCCCGCCCACAGCACGCACAAGCCCCTCCCCTGGGAGCGAAGTGCACCTCCCTCCCCCGCCTGGCGCTCCAAGGCCCCGCCCCTGGGCCTGAGTTGCTGAGCTGCTGCTTTTGGTCTTCTGGCACGCATAGCTCTGCCGCCCCACACACCCCTGCTGAATAGCTCTGGGTGCTGGGCTGGGGGGGAGGTTCCGCCCACTGTGAGCGCCGCCCCTGAGTTCATCTTGCGCAATTCCAGGACCGCTCCCCACAAAGCTCCAACCCCGGGTTACAGTTGCAAAGAGAATGCCTCTTCTTGGTTAAATATCCAGAGTCGGCCTATTGTGCTCTTAGGCTTCCCCTACCCATCACCCCTGGTCTGGGCCTTAACCGTAGACTTACATAGATGATGCCCCTACGTGGACTGAGGCTGATTTAGGCCTTCTAACACTATCCCCATCAAACCCATGATCACCAGGAACACACCCGCCTTCACCCAGCCTCTAGGTTCCTGAGCCTGCAAGATGTTGGAGCGAGGTGGGAAGTCCCAGGCCGGGAGCACAGATCCAAGCCCCTCTGTCAAGGAACCGGTGACCAAAGGAGGTGAGAGGGCCTTGCCTGTGGGTAGGGAATGTTCCTCAGGAGGGGGAGTGAAAGAATCACATGATAGTGAGGTGGGGAGATAGCTCAGCAGCCTAAGTTTGTAGACCCAGGATTCTGACTGTTGGAATCCCAGAAATATATCATTCTGGGAATCTTTTCTTTTGGTTTTGGGAGACCCTCCATGATCATTTGCTAGGGCTCAGGAAATTACAGGACACACCAGAGGGTAGATATGTGGGGATTCAACCCCTGGAAAGGTATTGGAAATGGATACTGTAATTACAGTGGGGAAGCCTTAGTAGTTTAGGGGTACAGGAACATGATCCATTGGAGCCCCTCAGGATGATGCATGAGGCAGCGGGGAGCAGAAATAATTTAGGGAATGAATTAGTGGGATGCCTGAAATGCTCAGATACACTTTGAAAGGCCTTCCAAAGTGGTGGCAGAGCCTGGCCCAGGCCCAGGACATTGGTTGCTTCCTGAAGCCCACCAGCCTTCCTATCTCCCAGATCTTCACCAGGGCCCTCCACAGAAACCCAGCCAGCCGGCTCCAGGGTCCACTGCAGCGGGAGGCGCGCCTTCCCGGTCCCGCCGGCGGCCCCCTCCACAGCGCCCACACCGCTGCCCCGACTGTGACAAGGCCTTTTCCTACCCGTCCAAGCTGGCCACACACCGGTTAGCACACGGCGGCACCCGGCCCCACCCGTGCCCGGACTGCCCCAAGGCCTTCTCTTACCCCTCCAAGTTGGCAGCGCACCGCCTCACGCACAGCGGCGCCCGCCCGCACCCGTGCCCACACTGCCCGAAGGCTTTTGGCCACCGTTCCAAGCTGGCAGCCCACCTCTGGACCCATGCGCCCACCCGCCCCTACCCGTGCCCTGACTGCTCCAAGTCCTTCTGCTACCCCTCCAAGCTGGCTGCCCACCGCCACACGCACCACGCCACCGACGCTCGCCCCTATCCTTGCCCACACTGCCCCAAGGCGTTTTCCTTCCCCTCCAAGCTGGCCGCCCATCGCCTCTGTCATGACCCCCCCACCGCACCGGGCAGCCAAGCCACCAGCCGCCACCGATGCTCTACCTGCGGTCAGGCCTTTGGCCAGAGACGACTCCTGCTGGTGCACCAACGGGGCCACCACCAGGTGGAGGGCCAGGGGGAGAGAGAGTGAGCACTCTTGGTGCCTCACTGACCCCCCTCTGCTGCCTGCCCCATCAGTAAAGAGGTGGGATTCCTAAGTCCATTGTACAGATTTCCCCCTTTGAGGGGCCCCTCCAACATGGTCGTGGAGCGTGGCTCTCTTGAGGGACAGGTGTCAACCAGACAGCACTGGGTCCAAAACTATGGACCCTGGAGCTATGGTTTGCTGGTGCTGGGTCTGTCTGGTTTTCCCCTCCCACTTCTATGGCAAGGGCAAGAAGTCTGCAAGTGTCCTGGGTTGGTGAGGAATGTGGACAAACAGGCTCTTTATTGTGTTGAAAGTTTAACTTGATGACCCCACTTCAGCCACATTACCATTTAAGACACATACTTGCCTGCTGAACCTACTCCACCTACTGGAATGTGTGCTATAAACTCAAGCATGGGAAAAGGGCATAAAGGTAAGACTGTTCAGCCTGTAATCCCAGCACTTAGAAGGCTGAAACGAGAATCACTGCAAGTCTGATCTACATAGTGAGACCCTATAGACTGTCCTAAATGTATTTTTTAAAAAAAGGTAAGGATGCTCACTACAGCGTGATGGTTGTGGCCAGATTGGAAATCACCCATGTGACCGTGGGTGGGGGCTGCAATGAATGAGTGTTGCTGCCCAATAGAATCTACAGGTGTAGGAAGAAAGTCATCGATCCCTGCGCTGATGTGGACCGAGCCAAAGATATACAAGGTGATACAGGAAGAGAATAAAGGGCATGCCCCTGACAGTACGAAGACATCTGAAAGCCCAAACCTTGGAGAGAGCCTTGACCACCTCACAGGAGTTTCGAGTCCTTGGACAAACACTGTCACTTCCTTACCTGTAAAATGAAGGCATCTTAAGGCATTGGTAAGGGGCAAGCATCATCGCAGGCAGTCAGTTCCCTGTTGGATGTTTCTCTACCCTAAAAGGATGAACGACCTAGCATAGGAACGCTTTCTGTTCCATAGATATATACTAAGCACCTATGGTGTGCTGCACCCTGCCTGGGACATTATAGACACAGCAGTGTTGACAGATTTGATCTAGTGAGGACAGCGGACGCTAATCAAGTAGTGGTCCCCCAAAGGCATGAAGCTGCATGTCTGTAGTGACCACAATTTAGGAGGAAAAGGCAAGCAGATTGGAAGTTATGGCCCAACCTGGGAAACTCAGCAAGACCCTATACCAAAATGGGAGAGGGGTGGGGATTTAGATCCATGGTGGCGCTCTTGCTAAGTGTGTCAGGCCATAGGTTCAAGCCCCACTATTGGGAAAAACAAAAAGCCAAAGCCATTTATTGTGGGAACCTTGCCTTGTCCTTTCCCCAGATACTAGAATTAGAGCAAAGCCAATGGAAAGGAACTAGAAGCCAGAAACAGACCTGCCTGCTTTTATACGGACAGATGGCAAACCCTACATGTACATCAGGGAGTGACAAACTTCCCCAGAGGGATCTGATTACATATATTCTGATTCTCCCCCACTCTTCCCGGAACTGCGTCTTTACATTGAACTTTATTTTTTGAGACAGGGTCTTGCTAAGTTGCCCAGGATGCTCTTGAACTTGCAGTCCTCCTGCCTGAGCCTTCCAGAGTGCTGGGGCTACAGCGGTGAGCCACCATGCCCAGCCAGATAATACATATGCTTAGGTTTACAGGCCATAGTGTCTGCTGCAGTTAACTCTGCTGCTGTAGTGGAACAGCAGCTACATACAGTATTACGCATACACGAAGCAGTGCAGCTGTGTTCTAAAAAACCACAGGAAGTCAGTGGGCTAGATTTGCCTCTGGGTTTCAATTTACCAACCACAGCTGTAGACAAGTAGAGAAGGGACACTTAGCAGTAAATGAGGCCATGGTGTATAGTTACATGGAATCCTGTGGTGTGGAGGGGTGCCCCATGAATGTCTTAGTATACTAATTCCCAGAACTTGTGTTATCGTAAACATGGAAAAGGGACCTTGTATGTTTTAAGAATCCTCTTGAGTTGCATATGACCTTGACTATTGTGGTAGGCCTAGCGTGATCACAAGGGTCCTTATATGGGAAAGAGGACAGAGAGGACAAGTAGTGGAGGCAGAGATTAGAGTGCTAAGGGATTTGGGCAGCTGGTACAAGCTGAAAATGGCAAGGAAATGGATTCTTCCAGAAAGCTTCCAGGCCTATGGACCCATTCATGTTAGATAAGCCTGACTTTGGACTATTGATCTCGAAAATGCTAAGAAAATAAACCTGTATTGTCTAAAAGCCACTAAATTTGAAGTGATGTTATATCAAAAATAGGAAATGAATATTGATTCTGCCTCACACCACATAATGCCTGGTAACAAGATCTAAACTTGAGAAAAACTCTTAAGATATGTAGAAGGAAATAAAAAGGGCCAGGCAGATAGCTCAGTGGATTACAGCACCTGCTTAGGTGAATGCAGGGACCAGAGTTTGGTCCCTGGCTGACCCTGCCCCTGGGGTGTACTGACATGATGGCTGAGACTGGGCATGGTGGTGCCTGTCTGTAATCCCACCTCTTGGGAGGTTGAACACAGGCGGATCGCAAGTCCCATCTACCTAGTAAGACCCTGTAGACCCTGTCTCAAATCCCCCAACCCCCCAAAAGAAACTACACTTAAGAAGGAAATACAGAATTATTCTAGTAACCACAGAAGCAAGAAAGTATCCTTAAGGGACAAAAGATTTAAACCATTTCCCTGCGTTACACAATGCTATCTTCCCCTAATTAGCACAAGTCATCCCTGTGCCACCAGGGACTGCTCCCCAGTGTCAGAAGCATGGTGGATGGAATGGCCCTCAAGAGATGTTTATGTCTTCACTCCTGGAACCTGGGCATTAGCAGCAAAGGGGTGTCATGGTTAAAGAAATTAAGGTTGTGAATCAGTTGACCTTAAAACAGATTTAAAAAGTGAGGGCTGGGGAGATAGCTCAGTAAAATAAAAGCTTGCCTGGCCAAGTGCAAGGTCCGGAGTTTAATCCCTGGTATCGCAAAAATAAATACTAAGTGAGACTGAGACAAGATTGCTGAGTTTAAGGCCAACCTGGGCTACATAGTGAACGTAAGGCCAGCTAGAACTGTGTATCATGACCCTGTCTCAAAAGCCCCCCAAAATAAGGGGAGGTAGGCGGGAGCTGGGGACAGAAGGGGAATTTTATAAAATCAAGGTGTTAAGTACATGTACCTACTCCCTAAATGAATATAACCAGTAATAATAATAATAAAAAATCCCAGGTGATTCAGGCAGACTCACTGCGGTCATAGGGTCTTTCAGTGTAAAGGATGACAGGAGGCAGTGTCAGTGATGGGACATGGGAAAAGATTAACTGGCCATCACTGGCCCTGAATCAAGAGAACCGGATGTGGGGCCTCTAGGAGCTGGCAAACACATTTTCAGGGCCACTCCTACAGCTCACAAAAGGATTGCAGACCACACATTGATGTTTAGCCCAGAGGACAGGGTGGCAGTGAGGGGTCAGCACCCCGAGAGAATGAACAGATGAGGAGGAGTACATACAGCCCAGTCACCTGCATTTCTGTAGTAGCAAAGCAAGGGACAGAAAGAGAAGGCAGAGTCCCTGGGAACCCTTGCTTAGGGTATGGCAAATCAGAAAAGGGCTTGAAGTATCCAAGGTTACCCAAAGGTCAGCTCGCACACTTGACTGTCCTACCCCACCCCAGAAAAAGTCCAGGTTCCTTGATCTGCAGTTCAGAGCCCAGTGGGCCTGCCCTGTCCAAAAGAACTTTCCAGGGTGATGGAGTGCCACTGCCTGCGGTCCACTAGAGTAGCTGCAGAACATGAAGTGTGTAGCCTGCGGTACTGAGAAAGTCTGCCGTTCACTTTCCTTAATTAGCTGCCATGCCCAGTAGTTACACCACCGAGCACAGCTTCAGGCTGTCCCAGGCTCCCAGCTAACTCTGCCCCTACAGTGTCTTCACAGAAGCAGCAAGGCGCCTCCAACTGCCTGTTCCTACCTCCCTTGCCCCACTGTGATCCTGCCCAGTGTCATCCTGTCTTCTGCCCCCCTCTGATATCCCACTTGGTTCCCACCTTCAGTTCAATGGAGCCTTCCAGGATTTGGGGGGACTGGTTAACACGTCCCTTCTGGGCTATGAGGTCCTGACTTGGACTACTGGTTCCAAAACAAAACAAAAAGTCTCTTTATCAGACTCTGCCTACTGGATTAGGTGATACTTGGGGACTGCTGCACATAGTGATCTCTGAAAATCCTGGGGGAAAGGCTCTACCCCTGAGGCTGAGAGTGGCCAATCAAAGGAGCACCCCATCTTCCAGCTCACGTCCCACAGAAGGGAAACCCAGATGCAGAAAAGGCTCAAGGAAAAAACCAAAGGCTCGAGGGTCAAGGTTCCATCCCCATGCCACCTCAGCACAGAGGCCCAGCTGATGACACAGCCAGGCCTTCCCTCTTCCTGGATCCAGGACAGGCTGTTAAGGCAGCTCAGAGGCCTGGCCTTGGAGTGTAAGCAAAACCAAACATGAGACACAAGCCAGCAGCCTCTCGAAGAGACTCCTGAGAGGGGCAGCCACTCCAAACCAGGTCACCTTTATTAAACTGCATCTGTGCACACAAGTGCATAGTTCAGGCCTGCGGCACCACCCCATAGAGCTGGTGGGGAAGTAACTTCTGCTTCTCATTGCAACTGTAGATCCATCGGGGACGAACGAATGCCAGGGAAGGGTTGTCCATCAGGGCCTACAAGAAGGTTCACATGGGAAGAGACAAACAAGGGGGTGGGGGACAGTGAAGGGGGACTAGGGTTCCCCTTTCCCTGACCCCTCTCTCCCCTCCAGGGCTCACCTCCTCGAAGCTCGGATCCCATTCCTGTGCTGTGATCACAAACTGGACACGGTCACTCATATAGTCCTCGAGCTCTCTGGCAGGAGATAGGAGGCAGAGCGCATCCCAGGTGTCACATTCGCTCTCGCTACACCTTCCTAGCCTCTGTCCTCTCTCCAGCCCCACTGTCCTCCAGGTGCCGGTGAGGCCTCCACTCTCCCACATACCAACCCCACTAAGCCACAGTGGCAGACTCCCACAGTGGTCATCTGGGGGGCCAGCCCTTTTGTGTGTGTGTGGTACAGAATCCTCACTTTAGAGAGGAGCCTGAGGAAGGCAACACTCCAGACTGGCACTCAGACCCCACGGCCCGTGCTCAACCACCAGGACACTCCTTCTCTGCATCGCTCCCCTACCCCCGTCATGTCCCCTGTCCTCTCCTGGACCATCACCCCACCCCCAGACTGACCCATTGAAGGCTGTGACATAGCGAATGAGCTTCCGCCGCTCATCACCAGGGAATTCCCCGTACAGGAAGAAGTGCTTGCCCTGGAAGAAGTCTGCAGGAGACAGTGGAAGGATGAGTCTGCGGTCCTCTGGGCTCCACCCAGAGACAGCATCTGGAGCCGATGCAGGGAAGTGGCCCAGTGGGTCCCAGGCCATGGGCCTGTCAGAGGCTTTGGGGAACCTGGCTGGTCTGTCCATCTGCTTGTCTGCCTCACTAACAGGAGATACGATAACTCCTCACAACGTGCTGTACACTCAGCTGCAGCCCTGTATCCGCATGGCCCAAGAAGTCACACCAGAGCCTCGGCGTGGTGGCTGCCTTCTAACTGTGTCCTCCAGGTGGCCCATTCTTCCCATTCTCACAAGACTCCAGGCCACGTTAAGGCTGCTGGGAATCCAAGTGCTTTCCCGCCATCAGCCATGAGAAGCTGGGGAACAGTGCCCCCAGTGCTCTAAAACCTTGCCTCCACTCAGACCCTGATTCTGACCAGAAGCAGCTGTGGTCCTCCCCTCCCCCACAGCGTTCCCATCTCCTTCCTTTCTTACACGCACACATCCACACAGCATTCACGCCAATATGAGTGACATTAAAGTGAGCACATGTGTGCCTGCCACTGAGTTCCCAAGGACAGCAGCGTCCTTGTCACCAGGCAGGCCTTGATGACACTGTGAGGGAGCCCCCGAGGGCTCACACTGGCACTGTGAGAACAAGTCAGGAGGCAACGAAGACAGAGGACAGGGAGAGGATGCGGGAGGGGAGGGGGCAGGCCCAGACAAACTGCTCGAGGCAGGGGGGGCAGCAGGCTCCCAGGGCTGGCTGGGAGAATCACCACTGACGGGTGGGGGAGGGGGGTGGTTCCACACCAGAGGAGCAGAGGGATTTCCTACCTGGGAGCTCAGGAATTGGCTGGTCAGGAGTCTCCGGGCGATCCTCACTGTCTGTGTTCTCATCTGTAGAGCCTGCATACGGGTCCTCACCATTTTCCTCCTGGTCAGGGGGCGGCCTGTGCTCCCTCTGCTCGGCCACCCTGGTGGGTAGAGAGCAGCCGAGTAGACACACACAGTGAGCCACGACACCCAAGGCCAGGCCACCCTGACCTGAGCCCCAACTGACCTTCTCAGCTCATCCTCAGTGTCCCCAGACTCTTCCTCCCCATTGTCCCGACCTGCTGTAAACAGATCAGTCAATGAGATGCACACACCACTGAGTTGTCTTCTAGGAATTCTGGTCACCCTGCTTCTCACCTGAGCCTATACTCAGGCACCCCAAACTCGACCTCAGTTGACCTCCACATCCAGTTATCTGAACCTGGGATCTCTCTGCTTCTAATCCACTTGTCTGTAATCCAGCTTTCTCTACCCTGACCCAGGGGTCTAGGCCCAGCCTCCTCCCTCAGACCCAGGGGTTCAGCCACAGCCTCCTCCCTTAAACCCAGGGGTCCAA